ACGAAAGTTGGCTGGTTTAAATAAATGTCGCTTAAGCCGCAATTTAAACCATTTGGGGGAAGAAACAGTCTTATATTCTTTGTTTAAAAAAACTATTTAATATGTGAGTCTTTTTTATTTATATTAATATTTTTAATTTAAATGAAAAAAATAAAAAATTTCAAATTTAAGGTTGATTGCGTATCATTGGGTTTCTGATAAAATATCTATATAATAAATTAATGTTAGCAAATTGTAAGTTATGTCATGATGTTTCTAAAACAACTTTAAATAAAATAGATTGACACCAAATCTGTGTTCTAATAGTTCACCCATTTTCAGACGACTAGCCAGAGCTTTAAAATCTTTATAGGATCTCCAAGCTTAAAAAAAAGTGCAATTTTCAATCAAATCCTGGTTTTTAAAATTGGCATCTATTGCAATTTTATCGCTAAATAAAAGGCATCCTTTATTAATCGCTAAATAGAATTTACCGTCAGTCAAAATTTCCTACTTGCTGATGCACTCAAGGCCTCAAACTTTTAACTGGAGCTCTGTGCTGTATATAATAAAAGTTTCGTCTCACAAAACTCATCATATTATCAATAGTTAAATTAATCGTAGCAAATTTTAACTGGAAACTGTGATAGATTGCGAGTTTCAATCTTCTATTTTTTTAACTAATAAATGAAATAAGGAAATCGTTAGTGTATAATTTTTTTTAGCGATATCACTATGTTGTTATCTCTAAAACCACCAATTAAAACTCTCGCTTAAAAGAAGAAAAAAAACAATGCCATTTTTTAGTTATAAAATAAATGCTTATTTTGCTCCTAAATGGCGGAATCCTGTTCAGTTTTAACAAAAGATTAACTATATTTTTAAAATATTAATATCGTAATTTCTATTTTACTATTAGAACTCAAATATGAATATCTCGACTAAATCAGCAACAATTTTTAATTAAGTCTATGATATGAGATTCGAAAAAGTTTTCCAGAACTGAAGAAAGGATTCATTACAATGAAAATGAGAATCCTTGGTTTAATTTGCGAGAATGATAATGAAAGAAGTGAGTCATCCTTTATTTTTATCCTTGTCAGAGTGCAAAAGTGTGAGAGTGACATTGAGTGACAGCGGTAGAGAAAACACTACAAAGAAACACCGCACTGTTTCCTAAAATCATAATTTACATTAAGTGATCATAACAATAATTAACGATGTATTTAAAGGATTTTAATATTAGTAAACTGTTGTGAAAAATTTTATAATTGATTCTCAAAATGCTCATTTTTCTGTTAATTCACAGAGAAGTATTCCGAGCTTTTTCTTTCTTTTCTCGAATTTCCATATTTTTCAGATAAACACCCTAAATGCATCCGACTCAACTTTCCCTCGTTATATTTTGTGTTGAATAATTATGATGATAATGAATAATGTATTTAAAAAATTTTAACATTAATAACTGTTGTGAAAAAGTTTAGAATCGGCTCTTGTATTCTTCTATTAGATCCAAGAGAACAGGCAAAATATTTTCTCTAGTTTTTTTTAATTTTCCCCCACCCAATTTGTAATATTATAACTGTCGAACTTAAAACTGACTGAAAAAACTCCATAAAGCATCTAACTCAACTTAACCATAATATATTTTGCATTGAGTGACTAATGATAACTTATATTGTATTTAAATTATTTCAACATTAGTAAACTTTTGTGAAAAATTTAATGATCGATTTTTGCATTATTATTTTTTTATTACACCGCTGAGAAGATACCAAGTGTTTCCTCGCCTTTTTTCTCCTTTCCCGATTTTTTATATCCTTACAATCAAAATTTCCGTCATTATAATAACTTTAAAAAAAAAGCATATTAATTAAATAGCACTGCAAAGTAAATTTGCTTTATGAAGCAAATTTATATTTAATTCAGAAATATACAATACTTGCTCTGAAATTGCGTACTTTACTGCTTTGATTAGTGTGCTGTGTTGAGTAGTGTGATGAGATTTTATTTCATAACCGTCGTTGAACAGCCGATCCAATTTTATGGGTTTACGACTACTAATGTTCAGCTCCGTAGCCTTGTAATTTTTAACCCAATCCACAAGACAAGGGAACTCCTGGATCGAGAATTGGAACAAATTTGCCTTTGTGGAGGACTTTTTTGATGTGGGGTAACCCGCATTTGTGTTACATGGAGAGGAAGACCACGAGAACCTCCCAATCTTAACCTGACGACAAGGGGATTCCAACCCATAATCCGTCTACCTATTGAGGATATTTCACGTCAGCACTGTTTTCGGTGCAAGCTGGATGCGAAATTCGTATCGACTGGATCAATTGTGAAGCCTTTTTATAAGTACAAAAACAACTTCTCCTGATTGTTGCTTTGTAAATTATGGGAGTAAAAGTTAACTGACTAAATAATATTCAGTCAGTTATGTAATATGACGGATTATTTTACCAAATAGTATTTATTATACCTTATACGCGTTTTTCTGAAAAATAACAATTTATGGTTATATTTCGTCTCCATCTTTCGATCCATGTCGTGTCGTCACGATAAAGTGATTGTAAAAGAAAAAGCTAGAAATCAAAACACTTGCGTATTTTCAAAATCACAAAATATACAAAAGAATGATAACCGTTTCATCATATATCTTCTTACAATACTATTTTAAAAAGAAACACGATTTTGTAGAAGACAAATGTTTTTTAGGACGTAAACAGTACTTTCAATAGTTTTGAGTTATTACCTTGATCTTTACTTATTCAATTTCTTATATTTAAGTAACATTATGTAATAGTTTTAAACAATAGTCTATTATTCTTAACGTTTTGTAAAAACGATCAGTTGTTAAGTAAAATTTCACTGTAAATTTAAAATTATCTCCTTTATTTATTCAAAGGTTACCACAGTAAAACTTAACAAAGCAAATTATTTAATTTTTCAGCACATTTGGGTAACATTTTAAATACTGAATTTAAATTACTATATTTGAGTATTTTTAGACACAATATCATTGTATAGTTACACAACCTATACTTTCAAAATCATATTTATTGATTTATTCAATTTGCTTTATTTTCTTTTTACGATAAAAAAGTTCTTTAGCAACTGTTCCACCAAGCAGTTTTTCTTATTTTTATGCTACATTGTTTTTTAACTTTTTTTAAATAAAGAAATGACTATAAAATTAATGTGATATCTTTGGAATTTTGTGGGAACGTAAAGTAAATTTAAATTTCTAAACCAATTTGGTGAATGAAATAAAATAAATCGTATAAATTAGTTTATTTTAATTTAATTTATTCTCACTTCAATATCCATAAAGATTAACATGTCCCACAATGAACTGATCTAGATACGATTCCCAGTAAATCTTTAAAGTCAAGCATCGCTGTCAGCAGTCGGTGAGCTGGTGGGTGACCACTTTGATCAGTTGAGAAGTAACCGATGGTGAGCTGTATCAATCCTCGTTAAACTGTTCTACCGTAATGTGTTCAACTTCACACACAGGTCATCGAGCTATCGAAACAGGATTAAAATTAGAATGGCATGTCTTTGGATTATCCTCAGGGATATTTCCCAAACCGTCCGATTCAACGTCATTGAGCTACTGCTTCTACAAGATGAACTGCCCGCGCATGCGCGATTTACATTTATGTGCAGCATAATGATTCCTGATTGGTGAGATATTTTTATCCACAAAATTCTGCCATTCAGATTCTCTTTTGTATGCAGTGAGAACGGTCCCTGTGAAGCTTCCAAAGCAGAGCAAAGCATGAGTAGAAACAAGCTAGCGGATACTTATGAACTAGTTACTAATGGCAACTAAAAAGTTCTCCAATCAGAGATATTTAAGTTTTTTTATGTCAAAATTACAGAAACTTTGAATAAAATCAGAACATTCATATTTCTTTTTCTAATTTAAAGCTAGCTGAATGATTTGCAGAGTAGCAACATGCTGTGCTATGGATTTAAGAGATCGTTTAGTTATAGTGATAACCAAAGACATCGGTAAATTCTGTTGAAAATTTACTGGATAATGTATATTTCAGTATGAAATAAAGCTAAAATTTGGTTTGCTATTATATACTGTTAACTGAGACATGTTGGAGCTATTGCATCATTATTATTATTGTTTCTTTCGTAAAAAAAATTTAACAAAATTGTGAGATTAATATCGGCATGCGATCTTTAAATTATGATCTCTACAATTTAGTAATTGTGCCCGAAAAGGAAATTATTGCTTAACTAAAAAATAGTATTTAAACTTCAGTATTCTTTAAGAAAAGAAATAGGTACACAATATTTTTACAAAAATAAAGTTGTAATAAAATAGGTTACACTTTCTTGTCTTAGTTATTACAGGTGGTTTTATGGTGGAAAAATGATGTGCATGCATTACAAATCTATACTGAGTTTTATAAATGTACAATGTAAGAATCGTTCTAAATATGTGCATATTTCAGTATTGTTACTTGTGACAAAATCATTAGTCCAAGTTTTGGCAGTGGCAAGTCAGAAATTGAAAAAAGCAACACAGCATTGGACAAACCTAATGGCTAAAACTTGTAGCCAATAGGATGTAATTTATTCCAAGTATAAATACTGGATAATTTCACTTAGTGATTTAAGTTGATTCAAACAGGTAGCTATATGGGATTACCCAAATAAATATAACTGACCTTTTAAAATATATATGTTCTATTATACTGTCATTTAGAAGGTTAACAATTGTCTGTGTATTGTTTCTGAATGTCATAGTATTTGCATTAGCAATTAGTTTTACACACATATTAATTCCACTATAAAATTCATAAAATGAGCAATTCTTTCGTTATTTTTTATGCCCAATGAACGCTTGAAACTTATTTATTGTGGAGTTTTGAAGGTATTTTTTATGCTATAAAGTTTTATTATGTTGAATAGAAAATTGTACAACTTACTTTAATATTATACAAATTCATTTAAATCTTCTTATCATTTATGTTTAACAATAATTTTTTTTTCCTTAGGGTGTCTGAATATTTGATGGGTGACCTTGACAGTTCTTCACAGCCAGTACCAAAAACAAGAGTAAGTAAATTCTTTTACCTTCACCCATTTGTTCTTTTAATGCCATACCAGGGGCCTGTTTAGAAGAAATTTCGGTCCGTTAGCAAACCCTTCACAAAATATCTTTACATAGTAACGGACCCTTCACAAAATATTTTAACTTAAAAACGGACTTTTCACAAAATAATTTATCTTTTAATCGGACTCTTCACAAATTTGTTTATCTTCATTAATGTTTTGTTAATCGATTAAACTCTTCCCAGGGGGGAGGGAGACGGATGTAAACGAACTAAGTTTTGTCTTCGGCAGACGCTTCTTCCTTTATTCGTCTGAAATGAATATTCTGCATTCAGCAGTGTAGGCTAAATACTAAATGTTTGTATGTTGTATCTCTAATTTATTAGCAGCAATTGCTGTTTATCTTTTAAATTTTAATTTTTTTTATTATAATTTTACAGAGTTGAGCATAATCTTGTATCTCTTTACAATTTAAAAAAACTCCTTGAAAAAGTTTTTTGCAATAACAGGACCCTATTTGCACAAATTCACAAAAGCCTGTTTGAAAGAATGTGACTTAACGTTTATTTTATATTCAGAAATTATGAGTAATTTTTTCACAATTTTACAAAAATGGACCCCTGAATACATATAGTTGCGTAATGGAAAAAGTGTTCAACGTAAAGCTGATATTTTCACCAGAGTTATGATGTTACTTCAAAAAATCATGTTTTACTGTCAATTAAAAATTCCCATTACTTTTATATGCTTTTTGTATGTTTGGAATCTTTGCTTTATATCATTTTGATTTCTTATTAAATGTACCAGTATTTGATAATTTTAAAAAAAAATTTTTAATTCTTATCTTTTAGTCCTGTGATAACTTATTATCGGCTGATGGTGAATGTGATCCTTTCGTTAGAGAAAAAAGATTGGGTGAGTAATTAGGATTTTCAAGTATCTTAAATGAGACTTACTGTGATAATCATTTTCCATCTAGAAATTACCTATAGAGGCAACTGCTATAAAATTACAGATAACTGAAAAAGGTATTATATAAATAGCAGTCATCTTATTGTGAGAGGTTTAATAACAAATGCCTTAATTTATTGTCCTCCTTAATACTTAGCAGTATAAAATTGTTTATAAAAATAAAGTTTGCCATTGGTACACAAACAAACAGAAAAACATATTTATTTATACGAGGCTCACATGGGTCAGGGAGAACAGGGAAAGTCATTGTCATTGAGTTTTATTTTAACTCTAAAAACAGGGAATAGTAAGGAAAGTTGCAATTTTTTACAAAAAACCTATCTATTGAAATTATTTTATAAAAGTCCACTTTTTAGAGAAACTTTTCCATGTTTCCATTCTCATTCTATTATAAGTTTTTGCTCATAAAATTTAATGTTTGATATTACAATTATTAAAAAAAAATCATTGTTTTCTGATGAAAAATTGCATGGTATAGTTTGCATTGAAATTTTCCTGATATACCTGGAAATGTCTAGAATTTTTTTTTCTGAAACTGAGTGGGAACCCTGTTGAAACTTTAAATATTTTTAAAAATTTGACTGATTCTGAATAAAATTACACATATTTTTAAAAATTTTAATGTTTAACTGATTATGAATAAAACTACATATTTCTATTATGCTGTAGTGTTAAGATACCTACATTATCTTCTGTTTACGGTTTTAAATACTTTCCGTAGAATTTTCATTTTAGATTAATTAAAAGTGCTATTAACTGTCAATCTCCTCTTAATCCTTTTTGTGGTAGTGTGGTATTTTAAATTTTAAAGTCGATTTGATGATTTATGATGTGTAACGATAATTTTAAAGTTTGACTGATTCTTAAATTAAATTGTTTTTAAGAAACAATTTTATTTTGTTAATAATTTATGTTTTGTAATTTATGTTAAATTAAATTTATTTTTCTGATGGAATATCGCTGCGTATAGCAAAAATGTGGTCTGAAGTTTTGTTCACATTTTCGTAAAAAAAAAGTATGAATTTTATCGTAGTTGTTTAACGCAAGAAATTCTCATTTTAAACTCTTCTTCTTCTCCTCTATTTCCTTTACTTTCAGTGTTAGTTATGAAAAATTAGAGCCTGAAACCAAAGCTGAATTGTTAATAAATCAATGCTTATTAAGGAAAATGTTTCTTATCACTCAATCTGCAACCCAACTTGCTTTAGTAACTAACAAATTATGCAAAAATGTTATTAACTTATATTTTTGTGTCATAAGGATATTATTGTAAATTTGTGTCGTATTTATCATTAATAAACTCACGTACTTATATTGTATTGTTAAAGTTTCTACTCTCCCACCTGAAGAAATTGATGCCCGCTTAGCTAGATTAAATGATGGAGTTGATCTGGCATTAAGAAGAGCTAAAGTATGGTCAAAGTATGCTAAAGATGTGATGACTTACATTGAAAAGCGCTGCTGTGCAGGTATTTATTGTGGTTGCTGTACAATAATTACATAGATTATATGAAATTGTAATACATTGTATTATTATTGTATTATTAAAATTTTTTTTATTTAATACCATAACTATTAATGTGTGTATTTTAATTATCATTACATTGCATTATTTTCAATTATTGCTTAGACTATTAATGTTTACATAATATTATTGAGAACAAATGTTTATAACAAATGAGATGAAGTTATTGCGTTTTGCATTGAATAAAAGTTGTTAAAGATGTTAAGAGAAGAAAAAAAAATTGTAAGTTAAAATTTACATTTCCATCCTTTCTTTGGAAATAGTTTTATTTTAGTTATCATTTCTCCAGAACTATAATTCATAGAACTAAAGTTCTGATTATTTAGGAAACAGACGTGCCAACTCTCCCGCATTTTGCGGGAGTCTCCCGAATTTTGAGTTATTCTCCCGCCCTCCGGAATTGATTTGAAAAACTCCCGAATTTTACTGCGATCGACGGCCAAACTCAAAATTACCTAATTTTTCCACGAAAGTAAGTTTTTCTTTCAGCTTGAATTCCATCCCCTCTTATCAAACTACCATCTGCCTGAAGCGTAGCTGAACATGCTTTATTTCCCCCCTCTTCAACGTTACCTCTTAACACTCCTATTTCACCCGCCCCCTTACACTGGGGGCGGGTGAAATCTTCCTCTTCTTTCGTGTGGAGTTGAATGCAATGACGTCACATGTCGTTATCGAGTGACGTCCGTTCAGGAGTGGGGAAACTCGTACTCTCGATAGTTGGAATTGATATTGTATCTTGCTGTTTTTATAGTTTTTAATGCGTATTTTTCCACGGTTGGCAACAAGCTCGTAAACTAGCAACGTGATATCAATTATTCGTTTAGTCTTCGTATATTTAAAAAAAAAAAATTTCAAGGATGTCTTAAGTCGAAACGGAAGTATGGATCAATTTCAACNTGGAAACTAAAAGCTAAGAAATAGGATGGGAAATTATGTTCTTTAAAGAGTACAATACTCTTTATACAATACTCTTTTAAAGAGTATTGCCTTTTTAAACCAGGTTTTTATTGTTTGCCATATATCGTGTTAATTTTTCTTTTATCACATTGTATTTTTTAATAATTACTTGGATCTAGAATAATAGATGAGAAAAAATTTTATTCTCCTTTTTATTGCATTTATTATTAAATTTAAAAATGGGATGGGGAAAAAATATTTGATGAAAAAATCATAAAATAAATTAATAAATAATATCAAATAATATTTTAGGGGCATAAGTAAAAGTATATTTCGTGTCTTAAATAAAACCTAGGTTGTTGTTCTGAAATAAAAATATCTAAAACAATTGTCAATAAACTTAACATTTTTAATCTTTTCATACTTCCTTGATATTTTAATGAGAGAAGACTTAAAATCTTTCATTAGTGATTTTTAACTATTCTATCCTAAATAAATAAATAAACTTCTATGATATAATAATATTAAACAAGAAACATTTATGTAAATGTTACATTTTGAGATTCATGATTGATTCATGTATGTGCACCAATATAAAGTGTTATGTTCTAACAGTTACGATTAGTTATTAAAATGTTTATTTTTATTTTACATGTGTTTTTCTTCTTTTTTTTAAGTAAAATATGGCACTTTTATTAGTAAGCCTGTTTTTTCTTCTTTTTTTTTAAGAAAATCCTTTTTTAGACATTTTTAAAAGAAATAAATTCTCATTTTATTCTCTGTCATGGTAATAAATTTGTTTTTTAAGTAAATTAGTATTTTTTTAAAAGATAACCAACGTATCAGTTCTTGTGGGTATTTTAATCTATGTTATTACTTTTAAATATGGCTATAAACTTATCCTGCCTGACATGCTTGGGACATGTGAAAATTCTGAAGTAAATATTTAATAGAAAATACTGATTGTAAATATCAATTAGCTCTAATTACAATATGTTTATTATGAAAAACGTTTGGCTTTTTCCCATGAGAATTTTTTCATTTCATTTTTGTGTTTGTTTTATTTTTTAAAAGCTCAATTGTAAGAATATCTAATGAAAAAATTCTTATATATTGCAGAAGCTGAACATGCCAAAAACCTAGTCAAATTAGCGCAAACTATGAGGCCAATACTAAAAGAAGAGGTATAACATACTAATTTCAAATCCATCAAATTAATTTTTGCTTATGTTTTTTAAAGATTTAAATATCGTTGTTCTTTTTCTAGAGTTTCTTACCCTTTCAATCCATTTATTATATGGCACTAGACCAGGATTATGATAATGGGCAAACAAGTTTAAAAACCTGTGCTGTACTTCAAGGACACAAATTTATTGAGGTTTGTATTGCTTAACACTTTTAAAATATTTAATACTTTTTGTACATATCCTGAATTCTTTGCACATAAATTGTTAATTTGCCTATTATTTTCTAAGTCATTATACAACGTTTGTTATGTTTTCAACTTTAAAATTTTTAAAGAAATATAGTATAGAGCACTTTATTATTTCATTAGATTTATAATTTGTTTATTTAATAAGACTATTTGTATTGTTCTAAAATTTTTTAGATGTGTTTAATCATTATATTAGATTATGAACATTTTGTTGCACTAATTTTTTACTTGTGTATCAAATTTTTGTTAATTATGTAAATAAAATTTGTTGCATTATATTATTCATTACGTTTATTAAAACTTCCACTTCTCGTTATTAGTACTTTACAAATAAAAAGAAAGAATGCATATAAGTAGAATATTAGATACAAATTAATTGTATATTAGCTCAATATACCAACACAAAAAAAATATCTATTTTTAAATTGACTAATTGATAATGTTTTTCTGAATGTATTATTAAAAAAAAATTCTCTTAGAGTCTGGATTTTTTCTATATTGTAATTAAGTATGTGTTTGATAATAGTTAATAGAATTTATCTTTATTTTTAATGCTAAAATATTTAATACTGATTTAAGAAATATTTTGACTTTCAAACTATGTAAAGTTTTAGAGGCTTTTGAAGCTTTGTATGCAGCTTTTTCTATAATGTTTTACTTTCTCTTATATCCAAGAGTTTAATACATTTAAACACTCAATCCGGAAATAGTCATGTTTAGTACAATATTGCTCTATAGTGTTTTTTAAATTTTGTTAAGGCCTGTTTCTAAAAAAATTTCAAAAACTGATTTATGGAGTATATTATCCTTATCCAAACTTTTCTAAACTATACCTTTCCTGCATAAAAAATTTTGAAACTTTAAAAAAAGTTAGTACTTTACATATAAATAGAAAGAATGCATGTATGTAGAATATCAGATACAAATTAACTGAAGGTAAAAAATAAATTGTGTTAAATCCTTTATTGTCTAATTCTAAGCTAAATTTATTTTTTGTTTAATTGCTTCACTAGGATTCATGATAAAGGTAATATTGATATTTCATGCTTCTCTATTATTTGTAAATAAAATTATTTATGCTTCATTACATGTTTTGTTTTCCCTCCATTTTTAGCCTCTTACAGCAAGAAGAAATGAACATGAGAGGTACCGCAAACAAATAAAAGAAACTTGGCATAGAGAATTAAAACGAACAGTAAGTTTTATTTATATTAAAGGACTAGGTGTGATATGATAAGACACATTTTCAGATTATTCAGGAAAGAATTTTTGGTATAAAATACCACTGTTTCATTATGAACAATTAGAAGTTTGCATGTTTTTCCCTGACATCTAATAACAGTGTGTTTTATTTATATTTAAGGGTTAAATATGATGCAATAAACCACATTTTCCAATTATTCAGGAAAGCATTATTGGTGTAATACACAACTGTTTGATTGTGAGCATAAATATATTTCCATGTATATCGTAATTATCTATTAAAAATTTAAAAAAAACTAGAAAGTGCCTATATAAGAATTAGTTTGATATATAAATATCAACTCTAGAAAAACGTGGTTATCATTTTATTGCCTTGTCCATCTTGTGAGGAAATTTTAACGTGCATCTTCATTTGAATTTAAGTAATAAAACCTAATGACTTTTATTACTTAAATCATATTTATTCTAAAAATTTACATTTATTTTTTATAAAAAGAAGGATGATCAAATGTAGTATATGTTGCTGGAGTTTTGCAACAAAAAAAAAAACTATTAATAACACATGTTGAACTCAATATTCAAGCTAGAAAATCTTTTTTAAAACTAAACATTTATTATCTTAGATTTGTTTTGTAAAAAGGATCTTAAACTGAATGGGTTTCTGAACTTGAACATTCACATTTAAAATTAAATGTTCGAATTTGTCTGTCTTTTAGAAGTTAGTTGCTTGAATTGTGTCTAAAAATTTACTACAAACTGAAATACTTATGCTATTCATAATTACTGTTGAACAAAAGATGTTTTTTTCTTGAAACAGTTTTATAGTTCAAAATCTTACATTTTTACTGGTCTTATTCAGATATTTGTTTCTCAAAATGAAAAAATATATACATATATTTAATTTATTAGGTTGTAAAAATTTAAATCTTATCCATTTTGTAAAAAAATGTAATAATTTTTTAAAAACACAACATTCTGTGTGGTATTACAATATCTCATCTGTTATTTTAGATATGTTCTGTAAAAATTTTATACAAAATATTCTTTCTGCATCAAAAAATGTGAGTGTTTTGAATGGCTACTATCATTATTGTTATTAATTTCTTGTAAAAAAAATTAAAACCTTCTGTCTCAAATTATTATTAAAAATGAGACATATTTAAAAAAATTTATTTTTTTTGTGATGCACTTTAATCAATTGTTTTGTTTTTATTAAATATACCAGTTCAGGCTGCAAAATTTAATTTTTGTGCATTTTTTAATCTGTTTTTGCTTCAACAAAAAGAGTAAGTTTTTATCATATTAGCTTCTGACAAGACAAGTCTTTTAAAGTGCTTTAAAAAAACTGAAAGCCTATTTTATAATAAATTATTTACACTTGAAATCTTGCCAAATTTGAATACATTTTATAAGATAACATTTCATTTAATGTCTCTTCTTTACTAAGATGTTTATTTTTCTGTTTATAGCAAGAATCAATTGTAAATTTACGAAAAGCAAAGGCCTTGTATTTCCAACGACAACAAGAATATGAAAAAGCAAAAGATTCTGCTGTACGAGCAGAGATTAATGAAGGAGTTGAAGCTAGCAAAGTAGACAAGAAACGTAGGGTTGAAGATGATGCTTTACAAAAGGCAATGGAAGCTGAAACTACTTACAAATCTTGTATACTTGATGCTAATGAAAGACAGCTCTCTTTGGAAAAAATTAAAGTAAGTTCATTTTATTCAAGATATAGAAAATTTTCCAAACGAATATATATTTCTTTTTTTTTTATCTGAGTTTTTCATATCATTCTCCCAGGTATAAAAACTAGAAGCAGGGTATGTGATTTTTCCTCTAATATTTCGCAGAATTTGGCATATCTCAAGACTATTAGTTTGCGGACTTCTGCGAATTAAAGACTTATAATCCAACAAAATTTTAAAACTTTTGCTAAGTCCTGTTAATGAGACATTTACATAAACGTGATTCTTTTGCCAATTTATTCTTTTTTGTTTGGTGGATTTTCACCTTTTGAATATTTGGTACTGTGCTGGAATCTGCCAATATTGAGATTCTTATTCGCGCAATTTTAATATCAAAGATCAATTTTCGTATTAACCTGATTTAAAAGTTATGCATTGCGATTCGTATTCAGACGATTTAGAAATCGTACAATAGGAATTATTCCTGTGCTTGATTTTTAAAATTGACCTATTAACTATTTATTCTGTTCTCCTTATTCTTATTAAAAGCTAAGTACAATCAGTGTTTTGCATGAAAGGAAGTAGACATTCTGATGTACATGCACTTGCTAATAATGCATCGTAAATGCTTTTGAAATCAACATCTTTATGTTAATTATGCACTACATTTACTCCATCACAATGCTTAATACTTCTTTATTAATAATACCTAATGCATCATTTGATAATCATTCAAGAAATTTCTAATGATTCAAATATCCATGAAATTAATAATTTTAAAAAATTTATCTATTTCTAAAGGATGTTTAAATATGTAAAATAATTTTAGCAATTTTTGGGTTTCATCTTATTGTATGACATTGGAGGAGTAACTAGTCACATTCTTGTCAAGTCTAGTCTAGTCTTGAAACAATTCTTGTTTAAAAAAAAATAGCTGATTTTTGTTAGAAAAAAACTAACTTAATATAATTTAATAACTTATAGTCATTGCAAATTATCTATATATTTGTTATTTTCTGTAAACTGGTAGATTTAATTCATTATAATAATTGTTTTGAACAAGACCTAACTTTTTTTCCTGTATTTAATAAGAATTTAGTATTTTTGGAAACATTGAACATATTACAACGAACAATTTTCATCAAACTTCATACATATTTCAGAGTTCTCTTCAATTTATTTTTGTTTATAATATTTGTTCCAAAAAAAAAGTATTACCTGAATGTAAAGAAATTAAACTTCATCTGGTCTAATACAATATTGCTGTTGCAATATTTGTGTTTTGTATATACATTAATAAGCTATGAATATTTATTATTTATAGTGATATATATTTATATACAATATATTTTAAATATTTGATTTATTAAATTTTTTATGAATTTATATTATTAAAGGTAATTGATGAAAATTTCTTATTTTCAAAACTGTTTACTTTATATTAAAAATTCTATAAAATTTTCCAGTGTGAAGTACTGCAGCAAGTTCGAGAATTAATATACCAATGTGACCAAACTATGAAAGCGGTAACTGTTGGATATTTTCAACTACAGTCAACTTTATCAGCTCATGCTCCTGTTCAGGTAAGGCTTTTTTTTAATGCATTTAAATTTTTTTTAATGTAATTTTTACCTTCAATTTTTATATTTCTTCTTTAGATAATATTTAACTTTGAATGTCCAATCACAAAAAAACTACACTTCTTTTAGTCTTGTTATATTTTTCACAGCAATAGCGTTAATATTTTTCAAAAAAAGAATATTCTTTGATTTGAAATCCAATATTGTTTATTTTTAAACTTAATAATTGTGTTGTATTGCCAGTTAATAAATTTGACTGAGAGTAATCAGAGAACAAACTATTTAAATATAGGAGCTGCAAGATTTTCTTGTGATGACTGTTTTATAAAAGTACGGTCAACAAATGTACAGCCTGAAAAAACTTTTTAAAAATTTAACAAATATTTACAAGCGAAATATTAATTTCGTATTGAACAAATGAAATATTAATTGCCACATTATATGCTCTGACATAAATGTAACTTGAATTAACTCATATTTTTCAAATTATTAAAAAATTAAATTCTTGATTTGATTAAGTGATTTCTTGGTTTTTATGTTAAATACATAAGATTAACTAGGTTAACCTTGTGTATTTTTTTCAAGGTTAATGAAATAGAACTAAGTAACAATTTGAACCAATTCATTTTTTTAATTTTTTTTTAAATTATTATTATTAAGACATGATCTTTGTAGAATATCGTTGATATTCTGGTTGAATTCCATTTCAAAAAGTGTTTTTTATTACTGTTATTATCAATGACCTATTAAATGTGTAAGCTGTAGAACTCTTTAATTGATTTTAGAGATTTTTAGGCTGTTATGTTTTAAGCAAGATCTTAATTTGTAGGCTGTTAGATGTATAAAAAAAAATATCATAAAATTCAAAATTTTGTATTTTATTCTCATCCGCTTACAATGTGACAATTAATACTTTTTATTTTATTTTATTTTTACTCAAACCTCCTTGTAAAAAGTATTAAATTTGTTTGTGATATATTTATTTAGATGAATTTCAACAATTTCACTTTGTTTGTGTTTGGAAATTTTTATAGAATATTTCCTTAATAATTACTTCTTAACAAGCTTGTCTTTCTTTATAAAAGTAGTTAATTAAACTAAATTAAAGTAACCAAGATATTCATTTTATATTTACACATATATGTATATATTTCTTATTCTAGTTTCTAACCCTGTATGAATTAGTCGTTTGTATGTCGTAATAGTCATTAATAATTTGTTGTATTGGGAAGTTTTGATAAAATATTGGCTTGTTATTAATGATTCTTTACTAGTAAACTTGTCTTTCTTTGTAAAAATATTTAATTAAACTAACTTAAAATTACCAAGATAGCCATTTTATATTTTATAAAAAAATATTAATAATTCAGTTGCTTGATATGGACTTTTAAATATATTGTATCTTAACTCTAGTTCCAAACCCTGTGTGAAAGTAGTCGTTTGTATGAACCTGGAACTCAATATATGGAATTTGTTAAAAGACTTCCACAACCCACTGGACCAGTATCTAATGGAACTTCTCCCTTTACATTTGAATCTTATTCATCTGAAAATAGGTAATTATTAAGATTTGATTTATTTTTAACAATATTTCTATTGCACTCCTTGTTTTTTTAATTGATATGAATAGAAGCCCTGTCAAATTTTTCATGTATTGAATTTCTAGGCTAGAAAAAACTAGGCGATCAAATGGTTCAAACGAGAGTAATGAAGATATTCTCAACCACAATCTTTTGGAACCTAGACTGTCGACTGATAGTCGAGGTAAATGTTTATTAATTTGGAATTTTTTATTTTGAGTAACGATTTGTTTAAACTTTTTGTACTTTCTTGAGAAGATAACTGTGCTGCAGTGGCATAGGGAGTATTCACTCTAATGGTAGAAAACCGAGGGTAGCAAGTTCCATCCTGGCGACCGACTAACCAACTGACGTATATATGTAGAAAAGTATTTATTAAATCTGTCATGGCCGTAAGTTCTCTTGTTTGTTGTAGTGAGAGGGATAGCAGCTCTAGCCCTGCCCACTTCATTTGACCGTGGTCAAAATTTAACATTCTTGCCATGGCTGTTAAAAAGTAGATCCCTGAAAAACTGGCTAGATGCTATGCCGTGGTTGAGTGGTGTGCGAGAAAGATAACTATTTCAATGAAGTTGTATCAGTGGTAACAATGTTTCTAAATTAATATTTTTTTACATTCAATCCTATTGAGTCACGGTGGCTCAGAGGACATAGTGTTTGTCTTCCAATGAGGTGACCCCAGTTCGAATCTCGGAAGTGATTGGTTGATACAAATTCGGCTCCCTGCTCACACGAACCACAGTGTTTACGTAAAATATCCTCAGGGATAGACGAATCATGGGATAGAATCTCCTGGCCATCAGGCTAACCGTGGGAGCTCCAGTTAATTTTCCTCTCCATGTAATGCAAATGCAGGTTAGTTCCATCAAGAAGTCCTCCACAAAAGCTAGTTTGTCCAAATGCTTAATCCAAAAGTTCCCTTGTCTTATGGGTCTCCAAAAATTGCAATTCTTTGGAGGTGAACATTAAAAGCCCTAAAATTGGAGTTGGATTGGAAGTCCAATGCCAGTTACAAGTTAAGATTATAAAATATTCTATCCTGTTGATGAATAATTTTAACTTTAAGTAGGTTTTATAAAACAGAAATTAGACTAATACATTTCAGTAAGAATTATTTCTGTCATAATCAAACATGCATAATTTTTCATTCTAGAAAAAATCAGAACTGTACAACCTATAAAAGCTTGGGGAGCATCAACTCAAGCCACCATGGGAAGTGACTCGGACAGCATGAGCAGCTGTCCGAGCAACAAATCCCAAGACACTAGTCCAGCTGCTAGTCCACACATAACTGCCAGAAAAATAGTACACGTATCTTCTGGAGATGAACTAGAAACTGATCATGACAATGGTATTTATAATACTTTTTCAATTAAATTAAAAGTTACATGTTGTAACATAAAGTGCTTAACTATTATGGGTTTCAATTTGGTTGCAGGAAAAAGTTTAAAATGATTTTAGTCATGTTTACTTACCGTTTCACGAAACAGATATGTTAAATATTAAAGAAAGTAACAAATTGTTTTTTTTTTTTTAAATATGTCTGCAAATACTTGAAGTATGTGTTTTAACCATAGAGATGTAATATCCCCCAATGCCCTGATTCAAGGGAAATATTTAGCTATCATGGGACATAGTCTTTTTAAAAATTGTTTAAAGGTGCTTATTTTTGATTTTTAAAAACCATTGGGTTTTTTTTTAAAAGTGCTTAATGTTCTCTTTTCAAAAATGTGGGATTTTCTCTTTACCATGTCAATTTTTGCCACATATTATGCAAAAGCATGATTTTCTCATTGTTCTATTCAGTGTTTTCACAATTCATTCAACCGCAATCCATTTCTATATACCATTCTGTCCATAGCGTATGAAAGCGCCAATAGTTTTTCATGTTGGATGAAACACTTCCGAGTCCATCTCTACTGGTCTGGGTTCGCTGAGATTCTTGCACTCTCATGTGCAACTCTGCTGCATTTTGCAAGATATTCTCAATTTCAGGCTCCATTTTCCACCCTCTGAAGTCAAACTGAAAAATCTTTCAATCTTTTTATGGTGGCTAATATGATCAAGAAAAAGAGTTATTTATCAGAAACTATTTATTTTATCATGATCATGTGGAGTCTTTGAAAATTATTTTACATTTTGTTAATGTATATAGTGCTTAAAAACTAATTAAAAGGTGCTTATTTTTATTTATTATTTTTTTTTAAGATTTGGCTGTGCATTTTGGTTATGGTGTTGCAATTTAATCAATGAATATCTTTTATGCATATTACCCTACAAAATTATGATTTAAAAATATGAAAATCTATGCAGTAAGTACCTAAGCAGTAATCAATAAATCCGCATCTATTATTGGTAATACTAAATTGTTATGAATTGAATGCAAAATATAAGTTTCATAGTTTTGCTTAGTAATAATGTGTCAAAATGTGATAAGTTAAATGCATTATCAGAAAGATATCTGAATTAGGTTATAAAAATCCTGTGGAATTGACAAAATGCCTAAAATTTGATTTATAAAACCACTTAGCTTTGCTGTTGCATAGAATGATTGCATAATTCCTGTCACAAATCTCATTATGTTATCTTAAAATGAAATCTTTCAAATATGTATACTTAGAGAGCCATACATATACATATTGTGTTATATTTTTAAAGGCTAAAACAATTATAAATTGCATTGCATTGCGATAACATTTCAAAAATTCAACTGTCAATAGCTGAAATTAACATAAATGTTACATTGTTTTGCATTTTTGTAAAAATCTAAAATGTATTATTGATTATTTGAATTTGCTGAAATATGGGTAAATGATTTAAATTTTATGGCTCAAAAAACAAAATTTTTACATATAGATTGTGTCCGAGTTAATATGGAATATTTTTAAGTTCAAAAATTTCCAAGACTTACGGTTAAACTTTTCTATGCATCCCTAATCAGTATGAAATAGTTTTATTTAAAATACCTCATCAATCAAAAATTTCTAGTAATTTTTGTTTCACTGTTATAATTTGACAATTAGTTTTTTAGTGTTAGAATTTAAGTTTATTATTGGATCATACTTTGTTCTACTGCTGATTATAAGGCCTAAAATAAACATTGTCAGTTAATTAGTTAAATTAAATAAATTTAAATTTGGTTCTAATGATTTTGTATTCAATAATTTTCTTTTTAAATTCAAGATTAAAAACAATTTAATTGTTCTTGAAATTATTTTATTGCTGATTTATTTTTTTATATTTTGTAGTGGATACTTTTGGACAAGCTAGAAGGCCATGTATGTCAAAAGCTGCAGAAACACATACATTTAGAAGATTAAAAACACCTTCCAGATGTAGAGAATGTGATTCCTATGTTTATTTTCATGGTTTTGAATGTTTTGAGGCAAGTTTTGATTTCCATTCAATAAAATACATTCAAATTGAGAGTTTGTTATGAAATGCAAGTATATTGAGATTCTGACTACTAAAACTTTTCATTTCTTCAGTTTTTTAATTATGACTATGAAAACAGAAAAGAAAGGTTTGGAAAACTACATAAACTTCTAATGTTTCGGTTGTAAATGACTACATTATTTTATTATTATTACTTTTTTAGCAATTAGGGGGGAATCCATATTTTTTCACATTTAAACAAACTTATTTGTTTGTTTAAATGTGAGAAAATATGGTTTGTTCAAATATATACAGGGTGCTTAGTGTTTTTAAAAAGTGCTTATTTTTCATTTATGTTTTTTAAAAGTGCTTTTTTTATTCAGGGTTTGTAAAAAGTGCTTAATTTTTTAACTTTTAAAATTGATTTTTTTTCTTTTGCCTTGTCAATTGTCATTCTAATTTACAAAAAATGCTTGATTTTCACAATTTTTTCAACAATATTTATCAGAAACTCATTATTTTATTATGATTATGTAAAGTTTTTGAAAATGTTTTTGAATTTTATTGATTTTATTATTATAAATTAGAAACTTTAAACAATAGAAAAAAATAATTTTTGTTACTGCACAGATCCTAATTATCATTTTTTTTTTCTTTTGGAAAGTTATTAAAAATATTTTTTGAATGCTTAAAAGGTGCTTATTTTTTGTTGAAAATTCTGGCTATGCGCCCTGTGTGCAAATTTTGAGCAAACTTATTACTTTGTCTTGAAATTCAATTCACAGCATTCTTTAACCCCTTGACTTACAATGAAGTCTGGGAGGCGTCATTTGTTTCTTATGTCAAAACAATAATTGACGTGTCTCAGATGTCTTCAACACAGAGATGCCAACTTGCTCCAGACAGCAAATAAATATTTTAAAGTGGTAGTTTATTAATTGTGATTCTTGGTTTAATAAATTCAATTTAGTAGATTTTTATTCACCACTATTTCTAAATAATTCCTAGGCTTATATAATTCACCACTTTATAGTAATTATGTCATGTTATACCTTTTAAAAAGCAAGCGAAGTAGTCAAATATTTGCAAAATTTAGTTAGTAGTTATTTACAGTTTTTTTAAATTATTTTGGCATGTCCAGAGCAGTTGGCATCTCTGTCAACATTCCGTTGCAAGTTGTTGTTTACAGTGCAATCAAAGATCATTTCTATAACAAGAAATGATATGTCAAGGAGTTGAAGTGCTTTTCAAATTGGGTCAAATTATTAACTTTTTCGTGTTCTTCAGATCAAAATAGTTTAAACTTAATTTGTCTTTACTCCTTACTAAATTTAAATACAGTTGAAGATATTTATAATGCAAACCTTGAAATACAAGGTTTTGCTTTTTATAGAATTTTGTATTTGATCATTTCATGCATCTTTTAACTATAATACTAAATGTGGTTGCTATATTAGTATGGAACTGATGAAATACTTTAAAATAATTTTTCAGAAATAATTATTTAGCTCAAAAATATGCAATTAGGTATTTTTCATTTACATAAAAAATATTTAAATTTTCTAAAACATTAGACCTAATAACAAACAAATTTGTCAATTTATGATTTTCTTAGCTTTTGAAATAGTAACCACTTAACAGATAATGTAAAAAGTTAAATATTTTTGCTTAGTTACAGAAATTCTACTGAATTTACACTTGAATGCTATAATTGGATGTTTTATCAGAGAAATAATACAATGTCTATTTTGTTATAAAATAAATAAAAGTTGCCTTAATGAAATTTTTTTAATTTTAGTGTGGCTTAGCTAGTCATAAGAAATGCCTTGAATCGTTAGCTATTCAGTGTGGGCGTAAACGATTGCCTCGCAAAATGACTACTTTTGGCGTTGATTTGACTACACATGCTGATGAATCTGGCGAAGAAGTACCCTATATTGTAAATAAATGTATTGCTGAAGTTGAAGAAAAAGGATTCTACTTAAAAGTTAGTAAAAACTAGTCTCTCTAAAAACAATTTTTGTTTTCATTTTTGCAATTTTATCTTCTCCATTGAGCTATTATTTTAATTACTAAGCTAGAAGGCCATATATATCAAAAGTTACAAAAACACATATATTTAGAAAATTAAAAGCACCTTCCAGATGTGGATAATGTGATTTCTATGTTTATTTTTATGGTTTGAGGCAAGTCCTGTTTTTTGTTCAATAAAATACATTCAAATAAAAGTTTATCATGAAATACAAGTATGTTAAGATTCAGACTACTAAGATTTTCTGTAATATCTTCAGTTTTTTAGTTATGACTATAAAAACGGATAAGTCTTTTGTTGCTATGTGAAAATAACATTGAAATTAAGTGTTTTTTGAATATTTTATGTAAATGTTAATGTCTTATGTAGTTAAGTTGTTGCAGTTCACTTAATATTTGCTTTTCTATATAAATACAAATCTTATTTTTGACAATTCAAATATTGAATGAAAATGCATGTATAATGTACTTGCATATATTCAAGATTACTCACATTTTGAAGTTTAAACAGGTGCCATTGCTATAACTATGAAATATTAATGCATTCATTCAAACCTTTGGGTAAGGCTTTTTTAAATAGAAAAAGATGTTCGATAAATTATTTATTTTTTCTCTAGATTTTAAAGTTTATTTTCTCAAATTGACTAATGTACCTAATTACATGTTAATGGTTTGTAAACCAGGAATGATTGTATTCCGGGGTTTTCTTATTCTTCCAGGTCTAATAACTAGAAGCAGGTCATGTGATTTTTTGCGAATATAGCAGAATTCTGCATATTTCGAGACCATTGTTTCGTGAACTCCCGTGAATCAAAAACTTATAATTTTGACACTTTTGCTAAATCTCGTTAATGAGACATGTTATTCCTTTGATTTGGCAGATTTTTAGTCATTTTAAATATGTGGAACTGCTAATATCGCAATTCTTATTCACACTATTTTAATACCAATTTTTGTATTTACATGATTTAAAAGATAGGCATTGCGACTCGTATTAACGCGATTCATATTCACGTAATTTTAAAATCCAGTATCGCTATTCATACACTATCTACCAATAAGTATTTGGACACCTATGCAAATGACTATTGTTCGGAGGAGGTGGAATTATGGTCTGGGGGTGTTTCTCCTGGTATGGATTGGGACCCTTGGTCCCCATGCATGGTAAGCTCAACGCCGATGCCTACTGCTCTGTTTTGGATGACAATGTGCTTCCTACGTTGTGGCAGTTTTACAGGGTGGATCCCTGTTACTTCCAGGACAATGATGCCAGCTGTCATGTTGTAAGGGTCTCCAAGGCTTGGTATGGTGCCAATGGAGTTAATCAAATGAACTGGCCTGCCCAGACCTGAACCCTATCGAGAACCTCTGGGAGGAGTTGGATCGCTGAATTAAAGAGTGTCCAAAATCTGTGAAGGAACTTACGTGTCTTCTTCAAGCAGAGTGAACGAAAATACCACTAGCTATCACACAAGGACTTGTGGAAAGTATGCCCTGGAGGGTTCGCGCTGTAATTGCCTCTCGTAGAAGCTCAACCAACTATTGATTATGAATAAAGTTTGTTATTCTTTTCAATCACATGTGTCCAAATACTTATCGGTAGATAGTGTATTCACAAGATTTTGAAATCCAATATCTTGATTCTTGTGAGAATTAAGTTTTTTCTTGGATTAGTTACTATAAAGGTTTGTGATATTCTTCACAAGTATGTAATTTAATTATAAATCTAAGTTCAAAAATTTGAAACATGCATGGTATATAAATTGATATCCTGATATTGATTATTTTCACTTTGAGTCACAATCACCACTTAATTTACTAAGTGGTATGCAGATCTCGGGGTTGGAATAAAAACTCTATAAAAAATTCCTTCATTGTCACCTTTGAAGCAAACTAGCGTTGTTCTAACTTTTTTTATTATTATTAATGGCTGTAATGTTTCAATTATGATCGCAATCTAATATGTCTTGTCTTTTGGTCACAAAGGGTATCTATCGAGTTTCTGGAGTCAAATCTAAAGTAGAAAAGTTGTGTCAAAGTTTTGAAAATGGAGCAGAGTTGGTGGATTTGGAAGGAGTTCATCCTAATGTGGTTTCAAATGTTTTAAAGTTATATTTAAGACAAGTAAGTTAAGAAAAATACTTTTTTTATACTACCTTACAAAAGCAACAAAACTTTAGTTGAACTTTATTGTATGTGTGTTATAAGCCAAAAGTTTTGTTTAAGCACATCTTGTTGGATAATATGTATAGTTTATCGACTAACTTCATTTTTTTTCTTCATAGCTACCTGAACCTCTTCTCACCTACAGGCTTTATCCTGATTTCATAAAAATTGCAAAAGTATGTCTCTTTTTGTGTTTCTAAGTTTCTCTTGAAGCTAATTTTAGATCATGCTTTTTACTAAAAATGTGTGCTTTTATTCAGGATTATCCCTCTCAAAAAAATGAAGAACAGTCATCTTCTCATGGTGCTGTTGAAGAATTGAAAAAACTGGTTCTTCATCTACCACCTATTCATTTTGCTACCTTAGCATGCCTTATGCATCATTTACATAGGTATGTTTATTGCTATCACAATAAATAAAATAGTTAGGATGTTTTTTATCTGAATAATATTGGTTTTTTTTTCTATATTCAATGATAGAAAATTTCTTATATCATTTATAAGAATACTTCTGTTCATATTTATAGATAATTATAATGTAGATATTTTTCTTTTTTAGGGTCACTGAATATTCAGATCATAATAATATGCCTCCAAGTAACTTGGGTATTGTTTTTGGTCCAACTTTATTACGTACTAGGTATGGCTATTTTGTATAATTTTTAAGCATTCTTAAATAAAGCTTTTATATTACGTATTTATACTATGTTTCTAAATTTGAAAAATCAAGTATTTTTATTTCTTATATTTGGAAGTCTTAGTTCAAATTGCACTTATGACAAGATGATCCCAGTTTGATCAAGTTTTGATTGGAATTTTTATTACATTGATTGAATATTTAAATTACGGTTTTATACAATAAATTAAGATTTGAAATTTATAATAAAAAAAAGAGAACAGGAATGTAGTTAATCCAGAACATTGCTAAGAAAAATGGCAAGAGTTTTTATTTTCCTACTAATTCTAAACCTAAAATGTATCTTTAAGAGAATAAATCAAAGAATTATGAGAATGGAATAATGACTATAACCATGAAATGACTTCTCTTTCAGTACTTTAATAATTAATAGAGGTTTAGTTGATACAGAAAGATTAATATTGGTTTGAAATTTATTTAAAAAATCTCTAGTAAAGTCATACATTGATCGAATATTTAAATTACAGTTTTATACAATAAATTAAGGTTTGAAATTTATAAAAAAGGAGAACAGGAATGTAGTTTATCCAGAACATTGCTAAGAAAAATGGCAAGAGTTTTTATTTTCCTACTAATTCTAAACCTAAAATGTATCTTTAAGAGAATAAATCAAAGAATTATGAGTATGAAATAATGACTATAACCTTGAAATGACTTCTCTTTCAGTACTTTAATAATTAATAGAGGTTTAGTTGATACAGAAAGATTAATATTGGTTTGAAATTTATTTAAAAAATCTCTAGTAAAGTGTAGTAATGTGTATACAGTCAACCCTCCTATAACGCGGTGAGTGCGTACCGCGTTATATGGAAACCGCGCTATAAAAACTCGGATTTAACCGTACAAACCAGGCTAATTCGTAGCGCGTTCTATGGAAACCGTCTACCGCGTTGTATGGAAACCGCGCTATAAGAAACGCAGAATTAGTACAAATCACATCATTCGTACCGCGTTATATGGAGACCACTAAGGACAAGATAAATTATTTTTATTGAATTGAAGAGTTTATATAAAGAAATGATACCAAAATTAAACTAAAAAACTGTTTTCCAAAAAAAACAAGAAAAAATTTAATCTTTCAACACTCATCCTCGCTGTCAGATAATATGAGTCGCCTAACTCGTCTTCTTTTAATCGGCAAAATGTCTTCCTCACTTGGCTCATCTTCACATTGGTTTTCGAAACTCCACTAAAACCTCTCTATAGGGAGGTAAGCAATTTCTTAACTCTCTTTTAAACTTTGCGCTACGCACCGTTGAATGATCAGTTTCAATGAAATGGAGTTCTAATTCTTTAGCCAAATTTAGCCCTTTTTTCACATCTTGTAAATCGACATTTGGCACCCATTCGTTTTTCTTATTTTCGTTTACCAATGGATTTGAGGTGGGTGCATCAATTAAATCCATCAGTTCATCCTCATCTAAAGTTTCTTCCCCGAGTACGAGTTCTCTTACATCCTGATGGTTTGTTGTAAATTCTTCANACCCCTTTCAGAACACATTTCTCTGCAACCACGCGTTTACCGTAGGTAAGGTTTCTTCATGTAAGACGTTCAAATTTTTTATGCACTTATGCAAGATGGACAAATACCTTGTAAAGGCAAAATCTTCTATGTTGATGCACCAAAAATATTCAATGCTTTAAAAAGTAGAAGACTTTAAAAATGTATTATAATTAAAGGAATGATTTATTTTTCAAGAGTTTTTGTGTTTTTTTAGAAATCTCACTTCACTTTTTGAAATCTCAGCCTGTGTTTGAGAAAGGGTGAGAAATTCTCACCCATTTTTTTTCTATGATGAAAACACTGATTCAAGTTTTATTTACACTCCTTACAAGTGTTCAATCCATAAACACTTGGTTGTACGATCTGAAGCAAAGTGATAGTCCAACTGCCATACTGTATTCAACATGGTACTGCAGTAGGGAACCGATTATCCGGAACGATCGGGGCCATCGCTATTCCGGATAACTGATTTTTCTGGTTTTCCGAATCGCTGCACAAAGCCGTTTTTTTTATTGTTAAACCAAACTAAAAAAAAAAAAAAATTTGAAACTAATCTTAACCCTTTCGAGCCGACTGTCACATACATGCGACAGCAAGAAACGCGCTCACTTCCCGGCCGACACACCCGCGTGTCAGAGAGTTTTCTCGTTCTCCCCCGACCGTCACTTATTTGTGCCAGCATTTCAGAACGTTTTTAAAAATGAAATTTCTTCCAAAAGATGGCATTGTATGTCCATATGGCTTCAGATACATGTAGATTTGACCTTCAACTCAAGATGAAAGTACATTCACGTGGTTTTTAGGTAAAGGAGTGGAGGGGGGAATGTTTTATGAGGGCTCTTTAAATTAGAACGTGATATTTATTTACAATAAGTAAGGGAGTTTTTTTTTCTCTCGCTACTTTCGATTTTCGGATTAGTTTTTAGTGGATAATTAGATCTTTTAGGCTTGAATTTTTTTCTTTTTACCGTTATAATGTCGAAGCGACGGAAAATTTTAACTGAGCTGGAAATAGAGGAAATTATGCAAAATATTTCAGATAATGATTCTGAAATAGATTCCGATAGTAGTGATAGTGACACTATAATATATTCTGATCATAAAGAATCAAGCGAATCGAATGATGATGAGAACATTTCTGACATTTGTATGCCCAGTACATCAAAATCGAGTAGTACTTCTGCATGGTCATCAACAGTACAAAATTTAACGCTATTACCTTTCAAAGCCGTGCCTGGACTAAAACTGGATAATTCGCTTGAAGAAGAGATAGATTTCTTTAGGCATTATTTTGATGATAATAATTACGAAATGAAAATAATACATAACGAAATGTACATAATGAAAATAATTACGGAGCAGACTAATCTGTATCAGAGGAGTATATATCCTGAGGGTGCATCTGGTGCACGTTCTTCGAACTATTTACCTGTCACAGAGGAAGAAATGTTTGTTTTCTTCACTCTAACAATTTTGAAGGGTATTATAGAAAAACCCAAAATTAAAATGTACTTTTCAACGAATCCCATGATTGCAACGCCATTTTTTAATAATGTAATGAGTCGTGATCGATACATTGCAATTCTTCGATGTTTGCATTTTGCCAGCAGCGATGCCAAAAAAATTGGAAAGCTTCAACCAGTTTTAAATAAACTATTTGAAAATTTCAAGTCCGCTTACACTCCTGAAAGGAATATATCAATAGATGAAAGTTTATTATTGTGGAAGGGAAGACTTGGATTTCGCCAATATGTCCCTGCTAAACGATCCAGATATGGAATTAAACTCTATAAATTATGCGAATCTAAATCAGGATACATATACAATTTTATTATTTATACGGGGAAGGACACAATGTTAAAGGAAAATTTAGGATTATACGGGGAAAGAGTTGTCAAATCTCTACTTGAAGAACTTGCTAGTCAAGGGTACCATTTATATATTGATCGTTTTTTTATGTCTCCCTCATTAGCGGATGAACTCTTCGGGCTACAAACAAATACTTGTGGGACTGTAATGGGGAGAAGGAAAGGAATGCCAGAAAATTTTCCGCCGCCCAAAATGAAAATCGGTGAGATGTTGGTTTTGCAGAAAAAGAACATGAACTTAACTGCTTTCAAAGACAGACGAGAAGTGCTAGTGATATCTACCATGCATGATGCAAAATTGCTTGATACTGGTAAAAAAGATCACGCAACATCAAATCCTATAATGAAGCCAGAGTGTATCATAGAATACAACAAAAATATGGGAGGGGTAGACTTAAGCGATGCCGTCATAATTCAGTATCCATCTTTCAGGAAAACTGTTAAATGGTACAAGAAACTTTTCGTTAATATCATGGATATGGCTGTATTTAATGCCAATATTCTTTTCAACAAAAAACAATAAGAAAAATCTCCCTCTCCTTAATTATCGCCTTAATTTAGTTAATCAAATTATTGCTCAGTATTCCTCTAAACTCACCAAAGTCAATATCATACCAAAATCAGCAGAATCTTTAAATCCACTCAGATTAACTGAAAGACATTTCCCGAAACTTTGTTTAAAAGAAACGGGTGAGAAAGTGAGACGATGTTGCTTCGTTTGTGCACGTTCCCAGAAAAATCCTCCAAAACGGAAAATGAGTAATTATGAGTGCAAGGACTGTAATGTAGGACTGTGTATAGATCCCTGTTTTAAATTTTTCATACGAAAAAAGAACTTAAGTCATATATTTAGTTTTCAGATTTGTAATGTTAAATGTTTTAAAATAACAAGTACATAATTAAAATAAAATGTGTAAACTATACATTTAAACATGAAATAACTGAAGTAAATAAAGTATCCATAGAAATATATATAAAGCATATGTCACTTAAATACTCTACAGAACAATATTAAACAACGCGCTGATATTTCGGTAATTTCATGGAATTNATACTGTATTCAACATGGTACTACAGTAGGGAACCGGTTATCCGGAACGATCGGGGCCATCGCTATTCAGGATAACTGATTTTTCTGGTTTTCCGAATCGCTGCAAAAAGCCGTTTTTTTTTATTGTTAAACCAAACTAAAAAAATAAAATTTTTGAAACTAATCTTAAAGAGAAGAAAAACGATGAAGTAATATACTAATGATTATTTCCAAAATGATGGTAAGGTAAACATCTTTCAAAAAAGAAAGAAAAATCCTAAAATCTTAAGAGTAAAAAAAAAAATTTCAAAAATGGCGGGAAAATTTATCAAATTTCGTTCCGGTTTTCTGATTTCCGGATAACGGTTCCTGTTCTGTACTATCAGCGATACTGTGTAGCTTTTTCTTATGAAGTTGTGTAAAAGGATTATGAATGGTGCCAATACCACTAATTTTTATTAAATAGTACCAGGTTGAATTTTATTTGGCAAAGACTGGACTATCCTTTCCTCTAAAATATGTTCCTATCAAAACATATTTTAAATTCTTTCATATTCATGATTTAAAAACATGTAAGATTAATTAGCTTTAAACCTTATCACATAAACCCCAATATATTATTTTTTAAATGTTGGGAAATACGAATAAATTTATGTTATTATCTGGCTATCTAGAAGTCTGATATTTTTTTTTTTTTAAAAAAGAAATTATTTCAATTTTGAATTTAAGAGTAAGACATATGTGAGAGATTTATAATAAAATTTATTCCACCAAGTTCTTTCTAAGTGTTAGTGTCCCTTTTTATGACAACTGAGCTGTTAAAGTGTAGAGAACACCCCTTCCATGGCCTGGGTTAGGGAGCAGTATTGGGAGTGTTTGATTCTCTGTGTTAAAAGTTGGATGTAAGATCAGTATCATAGCAGTTAGAAATCAACTTTAATGTAACTCCCTGCAAAGGAGATGGTTGGGATCCATATTGTGCCAGTATTGCAGAGTTGCCAATTATTGCAATTTAGAGGTAACTATTTCATAGTAAAGATGACAATATACTGTTAAGTATTAAACATTACAGTTTTTTCTCTTAAGTACCAAGAGCTATAAAATCTTGTTGTTTGCTACTAATCTATAATAATTTTGAATAAATGAAGGACAATAACAATTTGATAGAAAAAGGAACCAAAGAAACTTCATTTTTCCCCTTTCCTACAAGCTGTTCTGAAACTTGACATTCTTTTGCTTTTCTAAAAAGAGAGAATATTAATTTAAATCTGAAATTCCATGAGCAAAACTTTAAATTATTTCAAAAGGCAATAAGAGCTAATTCTATAATGCTTTTTAGTAATATAGCATATATATGGCTCATATACTGTAGGACAACACTTGACCTTACCAGAGTTGACTTTGATGCAAAGGTGTCATTGTGCTGAAAATTGGACAGTTTTCATCACTTACTATAAATAAATGTGTTTCTACCCTAACCCTATTTTAACTAATGCACTCTTACTATGATTCAGCCTTCAATCATCTTTATGATGGATATAGAACTGTAAATAAAATATATAAAATTATTTTTTGTATTATATTGTTAAAACTATCTGCCATATGAAATGTTTAGACACACCTGTAGTTACATGTATTAAATCAATATTTTTTTACTCAGCAGATGACCTTCTTTATTCAAACATCTTATCAGACGATGACTTTCCTGAAATTATGCTTCCAGAGGATTCTGTGTTCAAAAGATCTTTACAGCCGAGTATTTCAAACTCGTTCTCAGAAGCAAAATCGAACTGTGACTCCTCTAAATCGGGGCAATCTTCAATGCACATGAAAGTGCAGGACACTAGGGCATCCTTGTCCTCCTCCCCGGCAGTGTCCGAAGGCAGCCATTGTAGTTCTCTATTGAGATCGACTGATGACGAGTCCATATCTGACATTGCTTGGAAAGACAGCATCTTACCTGTGCCACCACCCAGAAAAAACACCCCTGCTAACCTACAACTAAATCAAAGCTTCCTGCATAGTTCATTAGACAGAAAACAGATGTCCTCCATGTCCGAATCTTCAGGTGTGTCCTCTGCAGCGTCCACTAGTCCAACTAATGCTGTAGACACGTCTCAGTGTGATCCAGGAAACTTGTATACCTCTACAGCTGTGGTAACTTTGGCTGGGCAGAAAAGTCCTACTCAGTGTGCCAGAGCGACTGCCTCTTCGACCGCAGAGCTACGCAGACAGTTCTTTGAGCTGCCACCGCCTTTGCCGACAGGAACACCTCCGCTGACTTCTCGTCCTAGTTCGCAATCTGAAACGGCGAAGTATTCTTCAGAGTCTGGGAGGGATAGTGAAAGTTCACTATCGTGCACCGACATACCTCTTTCGTTGAGAAATGCGTTTTGTGAAGTTGATGGTGCAAGTTCAAGGCGGGATTCTGAACAGTGTCAAATACAAGGTAATTTTATTCAGTTTTAAACGTTATATTTTGAATGCTATGTTTTATTTTCTAAACTAGCATGACTGAGAGCATATAAATTTATTATTTTTAGTCTATGAATTATGCATTATTAATATGATATGCTTTGCATGATAGTTTTCTTTTAAATTTTTAATTACTTTACTGCTTTTGTAAAGAGCTTCTAGGTATTTTAATTTTCATCCCTCAATTTTTGTATCTACCTTCATAACAATTTTAAAAAAATTTAGTAGATAGGTACTATGCATATGTCTTACAATCACAGGAAATCAATGTTTTATGTTGAGAATAATTATTATAAAAGAACCAAACTAAAGGTATTTTGAACACAAGTACAACTAATGAATACTGTGCTCCTTTCGACCAAACTATGCTCTTTTAGTTGTAATTACTTATAATTTGATTAGCAACTTCATATTCTTTCAAATTAATCTATATTTGCTTTAAAAAAATGATTATTCTAAAATTCTTTTCTTGGTTTAAATGTGTGCAGAAAATGGTATAATTTGTGTCATAAATTATTTATTGAATCAGTTCATGCGGTTCTTTTTAATTTTAGATAGGTTGAAATAATTCTTTAAAGTGATATTTTGTTAAAGTTTATGAGTCCTAAATTTGTATGAAAATAATAGTGAGCAATTTTGTGTAAGCTATTAATAATTCTTAATTTTAAAAATGTGCTGTTCAAAATTAGTCGGGGGACGCATGACATGCATTATTTAACACTACTAACAAGTTGATATTCCATTCTGCCTGCAGGAACTTCAACGAGACCTAGAGGATCTAGTCTATCTTATGCATCCACTGTTGATACTGTTTCTTCTAACTCTTTCTATGGACGAGAAGATAAGACAAGGTTAGCATGATTCTATACTCTTTATAAGTAGTGTCAACTACTTATAGTAGTGTTAGTTTAGATTAGTGCATTTCAAAACTTATTGAATTAATTGAAAATGGTTTGATTTGCTTATTATACTTTCTTTTATTTATTTATGATTGCAGTAAAAATTAAATCAGCTTTCAACTTAAGAGTTTTAACGTGACGTGTGTATGTTGTGTCCGAATCATCCTCAGAGGTTCCTAGACTGTCACCAATATCCTATTGTGCAACTCTAGGGTGACATTAATAAAAGCACCATACCATCAATTTTATGGTCCTTATTAGAGATAAAATTAATGATTGTATAGTTTAATTCTTGTGTGTGGAAAAAAAAAGTGTTTTTTAATTATTTATTAAATACTCCTTTTAACCTCTCTGAGGGTGGAAGCTTGCTATCAAAATTTTGACCATTTTTCAACTAGCTCGATTACTCTAATCCCATCTGGAATTCATTGTTTCCATGTGAATAATAGAAGTTTGCATCATTTCCCGACTGCTCTCAGCAAATTTATTGTTAATCAAAATTTTGACCATTGCCTGAATAGTACTGGTAGAAACAAAACTAAAATTAATATATGGAAATTTTTGAAACTGTTTTTTAAAGACTTAAAAGGAGAAAATTATTTTTTTTGCCCAAAAATGAAAAACTTTGGACATATCTCTTTCATTATAAACTTCTATCACAACTAAAAAGTTTCCCTATATTTTTCTTTTTCTGTTTAAACCTGACAAAAATAAAAACTTTTCCTTTATAGTCTACTTAGTTTTATTATTTTCTTGAAAAATTGCTGTCATTTTTTTTTTATCATTGTATGGGCAGTTACATGCTTAAACAGGGTGTGTAGCGTTTTTAAAAAGTGCTTATTTTTGTTTTTTAAAAGCCCTTAAAGGTGCTGTTTTCATTGGATGTTTTTAAAAAGTGCTTAATTTACCCTTTTCCAAATTGAGATTTTTCATTTACTATGTTGATTTTCCCTTCAAATTAAGCAAAAAGACACAGTTCACATTGTTCTATTCAACGTTTTCACAATTAATTCAACCCCAATCTATTTCGGTATATCGTCAGTCCGTAGTGTATGAAAACGTCATTCGTTTTACATGATTCAAAATTTCATGATTTTTGACAATTATCAAAAACAGTGCCAAAAGTTGTTTTTTTTTTTTTTTTTTTTTTTTTTTTTTTTTTTTTTTTTTTTTGACGTGACGGTTAAAACAAGATAAAACCATCAATTGTCAAAAACTTTCCAACCCTGCCAATTATGATATTTTTCTAAAGTGCTTAAAAATATTTTTTATGAATAATTTAGCTGTGCACCTTGTTAAACTTGTTAAATGAATAATTTCTACATTATCTTTCTTTTCAGTGGAAGTGCTGAAATATCATACTCCTTGAAAATGGAATCGCGTCATATTGATGATACTGAAAAAGGAATTGATTCTGTGGATTGCAGAGCTTACATGCTCAACAAAACTGAAAAGTTATTGCAGTCGGATGGTAAAAAAAGAACAGAAGTTATCTCCGTCAAACACATGGTGCAAAATATTGACATGAACCCTAAAAGTGCAATCTCATCAGACTTTGAGTGTCTGAATTCAGTTGTGTCAAACAAAAAACTCATGGAATGCAATACAATATCAACCAGCAGTATTTTAAACGAAAGTCTTACATTAGATCGAAGTGAACTCAAAAGTATAAAATCTGGTGATAAATTATCACTGAACAGGCAACCTCGTTTTGTGTAAACATTGTACTGGCTGTGCGTAAGAATCAAATTTGCTGTCCATTGCACAAACTTCAGTGGAATCTGTAAATATTGCATTCAAGCAAGTTGTTGAAGGTTTGTGCCAGTTTCTACATTTGTGAATATATCATTTGCTCATGGAATATTATCATTTGATAAACATTTAAATGGTGCCCTCTTTTTAGAACATAGTGGCAAGATTAGTCAATTTAAAAACCATTAAAATTTTCATGTTAAAATTTAATTCAGTATGTGATAAATGTTTTGACATTTAACTATCTACAATAGTTGTACGCTGTTCTTTTTTTCTCCTGATGCTTTTTAAACTTTTCATCGGGTTTAATTGTTAGTTGTTAGCCATGCTTCTTTTGAAAGTAAAATTTATAAATTTGTTACTCTCGTTAGTTGTGTTATGAAAGATATTAATTTTATTATTTAGAATTTAGTATTGTTGGTTATTTTATAAATTAAATTATTAGGTAATTTTTTTTAAAAAAAAAAAAAGGCTTTCTAGTGTTGTTGATAGCTTAAGTTTTAAACGAGTGAAATATGTATTTCTTTTTAAAAGTTCACTTCTGATTTGTGTTTTTTTAATTGAATACAGTCAAGCCTCGATATTTTAAACTTGTAGGAAAAGACTTAATTCGAAATGTCCAAAATAAAATAAAGCACTTTTTGTGTACTTTTTTTAAAAAAGAAACCCATATTTTTATTTTACAAGAAAATTCGGTTGTGTTTTGCTTTCGTTCATAAGGCAGAAAATTTTAATCCAGAAATTTAATCACAGAAGCTAAAACAATTTGCTTTATCTCTTAAACAATAGGCAATTTTGAAAAATGTAAAGATAAGACCTATCACAATTTTAATGGTTTATGTTATTGTCAAATATAAGTTGGACAGTTTTAATCACACCACCCCTGAAAGGGTTAATAGAAGAATTTGATATTTTTTTTTTTAAAAAATAGATTAAATCGTGCCTGCTGAACTTCATGATTTTAAAATGCATCCAGGGCTTTTTTTTTTATTTATTGACAATATCTTTTATTTGGAATTTTATTTTTAGAAAAAATTTCTGTTTTCTTAATGAAAATTTTTTTTTAGTACCTAGGGAAGTTAAAGAGTAATTTTACTTTCTTATAAATATCAAAAATTTGTAATACTGAGGTTCAAATTAGTGAGGTTTGACTGTAAATTGCATACTTATTTTTTATAAATTCTTGAGAGACTCTGCATTATTTAGTTTTCTTCTCTGTGAGAATTGTAAAAATAAATTATTAAAATAAATTTAGTTACATTGTGCAATGATTAAATCATTGACTTAGTTTTATCTATTTTAGATATATTCATCCTATTTTAAAATAATTCATCCTATATATTTTTTGCTACATCTTGTCCAATATTTTTAATTCTAAAAAGCACTTATATTGTCTTTAGAAAAAAAAAGCATATTTTAAGTACATTAATTCATTTATCACTTGTTGAAAAAATTAATAAAATGTTTCTTGGTTGATTTGGTCTTTTAATATTTATTCCTTATCATTATTTTATAGCACTAAGTATTTAAAAAAAAATTGGAGATGCCTCAATATATAAATGCAAGCACATAAATTTATTTTTCAAGTTATGGGAATACAATTTCAAGACATAAAAAAAGGTATTGTATTTCGGATTCACTTTCTGTTAAAAATGCAAAAGGGGAAAAAAGGCAGTCATTTTTGGGTTTTTTATTTCATCGCTAGGGTTCACACCAGTAATGAAAATTTAGTGGTCTTTGCTGTATCGATTGTCATTCTAAATTACAAAAATGTTATGATTTCACAATTTTCTCTGCAATATTTATCAGAAACTAGTTATTTTATCATGATTATATAAAGTTTTTGAAATATTTTCGAATTTTATTGATTTTATGTTTATAAATTAAGAACTTTAAACAATAGAAAAAAAAATTTATTACTGCACAGATCCTAATTATCATTTTTTTTTTAAAGTGATTGAAAAAAAATTTTGAGTGCTTAAAAAGTACTTAAAAGGTTTTAAATTTTTTGTTGAAAATTCTGGCTATGCACTTGAGGGGGAAAATTGAATTCTACAATTGCATAATTAATGTACATCAAAAATTAGTACGTAATTGTCATCTATTGCATCCTAAAATTAATTAGGTCTATTACCCATAATGATTAAAGATTAGTATTTATTAAAATTAAATAAAAAAAAGCTAAAATAATATTAGTAAATAAATTCAATGTATAGACTAAATTAGAATGTAGTAAGAACTAGCAAAATATTATATTAAAAAATAATTATCTGAAAATTATAAAATTCCAGGTGAAGTCAATTCTAAAAGAGCAAAAAACAATGTTTTATTCATGAACAATTATACTATCAGTACATGAATACAAAGCACAGTTCAACATGTAAATTAGAAATATCATCATTTAAATTTGAAATTTTTTGTACCAGACACTTTTAATTATTCTACTTAAGAAATTTTAAAACTAAAATCTAACCTACGCTTTGAACAATTAAATTAGTACGACAATTAATTTTAAATGTACGGCAGTCGATGCAACAAAAAAAAACTATTTTTGGTTACTATTTTGCAATTTAGAAACATATTTCAAGGCGACATTTGTAGAACAATTGTCACCATACTGGTGTGAACTTTGCGCATCGTATAATGGTATCAAAGGTGACGTATTTATATTTTTAATAAAATTAGAATTAAAAGAATTTTTCCACTGCTAATTGAAAGATTTATTCAAAAGGTCAGGCAAACAAATGGCTGTGCTCTAAAGTTTTACAAAAAATTCATTTATTTTAAAATTTCTGACTTAGTTCATCAGACAGAACTTGGCAAGAACCTCAATTATTGAAGGGTATGCAATTGAATAGACAGATCACGTGATAGCATTTGAAACGCAAGTTTCTCTTACCCAAAAAATGACGCACAGTACCCAAAAAATGACAAAAATACCAAAAATTTTTTTATTGCTTATAATTAAATTTCAAAGTATTTCAAATGTACAGAAAAAAATTCATCTCTCTATCCACATTTTTAAAAAAGTTATGAATGATTTTAAATTGTTCTAATACAGAAACTTCCTCAGCAGTCTGACTTTAAAGTGCTTTTTCGCATAGATGATAATTTTGTGTCTTAATCTTAATTAAATCCCTAAGGAATTTTTTCTATTTAAGATAAAGCTTTGAAGTAAACTTTTTTATCTTAAGTATAATACACTTATTTAAACTGTGCATGGAATAAGCATTTTATGAGGTATTACAATTTTTACGGCTTGTTATATATACCAAACAGGATTTTTTACCCTTTTTTTTCTACTTTTTTAGAAAATAATCTATAAAAAATTTTCTAATTGAAAAATCAACAAATGAATGCACAAAATTATGAAGATAAATATTGCAAGCACTATGAAAAAAACTTTTCTTGAAAATATGCTTAAATAAAAAAGCCTTAGGGATTTAAAAATTTAGAATTTTTTCAACGTTTTTTAAAATTTTAAAAAAATTAAACAGTTTATTTAATTTTTGAAGATAAATTATTGATTATAACTTAAATGAGCATGTAAAGCATCCTCACAATGAATGATTACACCTTTATTTTAAAAAATTGTTGCAAAGGTACTGTGACCCCTTAAGATATAAGTGTTCAGAACAGAGAGCAGCATGCAACCACATTTATTATTAATTAGTGACTGTTAATCGACAAACTTGGGTGACTATGTACAAATTGTGTTACAGTTTTTGCCGATGTATCAGATTTACCAAGACCAGATAAAACAAAACACATGATCTCCAACGAATTCATTGCTGGTATTGAGGAAATGTTTTGAGGCTATCGTCAAATTACAACCAGTGGCATAAGCAGCATAATTACCTTAGCTTTCACTGCACATTGTTCTGTCTTGGACGTATCTTTCCTTAGTTCGACTCCACGTTAACTTTTAAATACTCTCACGTGAATTAGTTTTATGCAATCTGCAGTGCACTCGAGTGGAAAAACCCGAGAGTGAAACAAAGAATGAATACACTGATAGTGCAACCTAAACTTCTTCTTGGGCACGACAGGCCAAGACCGTCCCAATAAGTTTTTGCCATCTTGATCTATTCTGTGCCATGGCCCGCCATCTTGATCTATTCTGTGCCATGGCCCTCCAGTTAGGTTCAACCTATCTACATCAAACAAAACTGACGAATTTCAAAATTTTGACTAAAGGAACATGGTAGATCAAATCCGTTATCAAGAATGCGATAAATCATTTATTGCTGAGCATTCTGAGAATCTCGGGGGATAAATTCAATACCTTGTCGATTTTAGTTGTACTGGACAAAACAGGCGTGGTTTTAAATTTTGACTCTAAGAACAATATACACTCTATAACAAAAAAATCGACGCACCAAGAAGGAGTTGTCAGATTGAAACGAAAATTGGTGGATAGGAAGACAATGTACAGAATAGTAAATGATTAAAATTTCCGAACAATTGAATAATTTATTGCAGAGTTACAGCAACAAGTTCAATAAGGTGTTGACCCGGCTCTAACCTGGATACAAGCTGCCACACGGCGTGGCATAGACCGATAAAGCTCCCGGATGGTCTCTTGCGGTATTTCCTGCCAAATTCGATGCAATTGTCGGACGAGGTCATCAACATTCCGTGCCAGATGGAATCGCCTTCCCATCGTATCCCAGACATGGGAGAGAGATCTGGTGATCTGGCAGGCCAAGGAAGAGTTTGACAAGCTTGCAGACAGTTCATAGCAACACTGGTATGTGGTCTGGTATTGTCCTGCTGAAAAACCAGCCCAGGGCGCTGCAAAAGGAACGGTAGCAAAACAGGTCTTGTGATGTCGTCGACGTACCGCTGTGCAGTAAGTGACGTTTAATGACGACCAAAGGGGTCCGGCTGTCAAAGGAAACGGCAATCCAGACCATAATGCCTTGTTGAGGGCCGGTGTGGCGTGCAATAGTGAAGGCAGGATCCCCCCTCTGCCCTGTGCGTCTCCAAACACGTCTTCGATGATCGTCAGGACACAGTTGGAAGCGGGATTCGTCGCTAAAGACTATACGTCCCCACTCGGCATCATTCCAGCCATATCAGTTCAAAACATTCATGCATACGAAATTTCAAAGCAATCGGATTATTGCTTCTTGGCGCGTCGAATTTTTTGTTATAGAGTGTATATATATATATATATATTATCAGAATTGCGAAAAATCAATCATTGCGGCACATTCTAGGAATCCTGGGCATAAATTCAATTTCGATAATGTCCAAATTCCTACCACCCCTGTCACATCAGTTCATCTTGATGCCCGGGAATCTTGTTTTATTCATTCATAATGAAAGATTCCTTTGTTATGATAATGCGTGATTTTGCATTATCCTAACAAAGAAAGTGAGTGGAAAGGCATTTTGCCCTATGTTGCTTCCCTCGACCATTGCGATTTATCTAGTTTTGTATTTTCGACATTTATTTCATTCTCGGGTACTGTGGTTTCTTCAGTTTTATTTTTCCTTTTTCACTTGGAACTTCACATTTTCTGTTTCAAATCTCTTTTTTTCTTCTTCATTCCCGCCAGGTAAGTTTTGAGAATGGGTATAGATCTTTAAGCTTTCGAAATTTGTCGATTTTCATTACCATCACCATATTTTTTGAAGCCAATGAAGTTTTTATTAATCAAGTACATGAGTAAGTTTATCAATATGTCTTACATGTGGATCTTGATCATTATTTTAATTAGAATTCAATGCTCGTAAGAGAAAACATCTGTATTTTATTATTTTAACAGGGTCCATGCGGTCCTTAAAACATTAAAGAAACTGTGGCATCAATTTTGCTATTAAAAAGTTATCTTTAATTATAAATTTAAAAAAGAAAAACTTAAGATTTTGTTACGAGATATTTGACTTTATTAAAATTGATCATTGAAT